CTTTGCTAATTTTTTTCTTCTTTTTTTTTAAACAGAGGCCATTAACTGTTTGATCAGAGCTATCGAGATCTACACAGACATGGTGAGTCTGTCCCGCAATGTCCATGTAACTGCCTCGCTTTCTCTTTGTGGGCTGCCACAGAACGGTTGGGTGATCTTCCCTGGGTTCCCAGCCCTGTGGCACTGCTGAGAGTGCTGTCAGCCAAATCGAGTCCCTCCCAAAAAGTGCCATGAAACTTCTTGTGAGCATCAGTGATGCAGCCACCATGCTCTTGGCCACGTTGAGGCAGAAGCCGAGGACAGGATGCTGCCACGATCCATCTTCCAGAGTTTGATTTAGCGGGTCTAGTAAAGACCCACTAAATCAAACTCAGAGGGCAGCCCCGAGGAATAAGGGAGCCCATTGGCCTCCTGTTGGGAGGATAGCAGGGACACATCGACTCCAGCTACATAATGAATGTAGCTGGAATTGCGTCTCTTGATTGGCCCTTCCCTACCAGCCTAACGGGTGCCACGGTGACTAGGCACAAGGGAGAGAATTCGGCCTGGGGATTGACCGGAGCAGGGCGGCCTGAATCCAGAATTGTGTTCGAGGCTTTGGAGTGGCTCCGCAATCTGCTGCCACGCCGGGTGCGCTGATGCCCACTGTGGTGCCCAGGGAGCAGTGAGCCTTGGCAGCCTGGGTTCGCGGCTGCGCCCTCCCCACCGCGGGTGCCGTGCTCAGAAGATGTCCCAGGGCAGCAGTGGCTGTGTTGGGGGGCGCACGTTCATGAGTCTCCTCTTCCAGGGCCGATTCACCATCGCCGCCAAGCACCACATCTCCATAGCGGAGATCTACGAGACGGAGCTGGTGGACATCGAAAAGGTGAGGCCTGAGGCTGCGGGGGAGGGGAATGAATCGGCTTGTCTCGTGGCGCTTTCAGCTGGAGACAGGGTCAGCGCACGCTGGCCTGGAGCGTTGCCGTGGCTGGCGCTCGTGGCCTGGGAGGCCTAGGGCTGAATCCTGTTAGACGCGCTCCTGGCTCACGAGACCCCCACCTCTCCTGGAAGAGAAAATGACTCACCAGACGCTAGCCAGGAGAAATGGGGGCTGAAGCATCGGCTGCTGCCCCGGGGCTGCCCATATGCAGGCTGGTGCTGCGGCCAACTGGCAATGGTGGCTTTTTTCTCTCTAGCTCACACCTGTTCTGCGTTGCCGTAAGCTAAGGCAAAGCCTCCCGTGCGAGGGGCCGTGTCCAGGAGCCTTTGTTCCCGGCTTAAATCACTCCCTAGGTTAGCCCGGCACAACCCTGGCGAAGCCGGGGCCGGGCAGGTCTCTTGTGAAGTTCTGCTAGGGAGCTGGTGGGAGGAAAACGCTTCCTGCTGGGGCCGGTGGCTGTGGTCCCACAACAGCTCCTCAGGGCCGACTCGGAGACGGCTACAAACCAGCTTTGTGTGGGTAGCGGCTGCGTTGTCGCGTGAGGTGGGGCAGGGTGGCCTTGTAGCTACGGCCATGACCGAGGAGAGCAGGGTTCCAGCCTGCGCACCTGCCCAGAGCCAGTGCCTCTCCGCCTCCC